CCTTTGCCTCCCAAAGTGCTGGGATTACAGGCTTGAGCCACCGCGCCCGGCTGAGTTATTTTTTTAAGTAATAAGTGGCAGAAGAGAGGATAAACCCAAACCTGCTGACTGCCACCCCACAACTCATTCTATATGATGCTGTCTGGAAAGAGAAATGAATGAAGCAGAAATCCATCACCATGATAACAGTCTCCCTGCACAGGGTCTCCCTTGGCCAGACACTCAGCTCAACACATGTCCTCACAGCAGCCCTGTGACGGAGCTATTAGTGTCCCTATTTCACAGAGGGCAAGTTCATGGTAGGGAAGTGAACCAAGAATTCCAATGTTTTGTGGCTTGGAATGGGTGGCTCTTGGGATTCAAACTAGGCAGGCCTATCCACAGAGCTCAGCCAGATGCTTCCCAGGTTTCAGCATTGAGGGCAACATTCATGAATTTAGCCATATTGGCATTCCAGAGATGCTATTTAAAATCTGTTTTTCTCAAATAGACTTATTTTTACATTTAAATAAATGAATTTAAAAGAAAACTGTGTTACTACCTTAAAATAGAAGGAAAATGGGAGGTAGCTGTAAAAAGAGATACAATGAAAACAAAATGTTGCTAAAATCTCTCCCAGATACAGCAGCCTGAGGTTTTCTCTGCTATTGTTCAAATGAGTAGTTAACAAGAGCTAGAAGGGTGCAGAGATTCTCAGCCCAAGTGGAGACTTTCTTTTCTCCCTGATGTAATCAAAGGATTGAGAACTGAAAAAGAATTATCTGCACCACATGATTCAATGCCATTTCAATGTGCCTTCCCATCACTTAAAAATTCCACAACTTGTGAGAAATGCTCTATCCCGGCTCTCATCACGGCCTCCTGACTCCATCACATATGCTCATCTGAATAGGAAATTGGGAAATATTGTTTGTGGAATTAATGAAAAGTCAACTGACTTGCCCAATGTCGCCAAGCAGTAGCTAATCCACAGTTCCCATTAAGTGTTCTGACTTTGAGCTTAATCCTCTTTCCATCCTTCCATTACACAGAGATGCCCTTATACTGACGCAGCATCAGTAATCATAAAGAAAGGGGCTATGTTCTATGGCTGTATCTTCACAGCAACCCTGTAAGAGGTCTTATTTCCCATTTTACAGATAAAAAACAGAGATCTGGAGAGTTTGAGTACCATGACTCAGGCTGCATGACTGGCCTCACGACTGGTGAAACCCATGCCTTCTACCTTCAGCAGACCAAAGGCCTCCAGAAAAGAGATCATCACTGTCACTATGCCCTTCCCTTTGCCTGGGTCCTGCAAAGGCAAGAGGATAACTGCTTGTTGGTGCTCAACTCACTCACCCTGATGGGAGCTGACTTGCAGAGATGGGCTGGAGCCAGTTTCCATAGGCTCAGTGGACTGACTGTTCTTGTCTCCTCCCAAGTCCATGTGCAGTGGTGTCACCTGGATAGCTTGAACTCAGCCACGTGGGAAGCATTTGTACCACAGAAATTGCAAATGCTACCAATCAAAGCTTTAGTTTCTTGGAGAACCTGTTGTTAAATTAATCCTTTACCAGCAAACCACTGATTGGCTTTTTCTTTTTTGACTATAAGTTAGTGGTTCTAAAGCTTGAGCTTGCATGAAAATCACCTGTGGGGCTTGTTAAACCATGGACTGCTAGGTCCCACCCCCAGATTTCTAACTGGGTAGGTCTGGGGTGGGGCTGTAGGTAGGGCTTGCATTTCTAACAAGTTTCCAGCTGACGCAAGTGCTGTGGAGAACCAATGCTTCCAGAGAACCATGGAATCACAGAATAGGGGATCTAGGCAGCCCACAAGCAGAAGTTAGCCCACAGTGTTACCAACAACCTTGAATTTTCTGCCAGTACTTGAGAGAGTACACGTAAAACTCTCGATTTCGAGCTTCTCTTGAGAAGTCATTGGATCTGGCACTTGAGCCTAGGTCCCTGCACTGTGATGATGGCTGGGAGCTGCAGAACTCCTTTCCTTCACTGGCTTTTTCTTCCTAACCTCCCCGGCCTGTTCTCTACAAGTATCCGAGTGGGACCTTGCTAGGTCAAGTTCTCATCTTACAGAAGGAAACTCTCAGGCTCAGAGAGAGGAAAGGTTCTGCTTAGAATTGCAGAGTTATTAAGACAGTGGCAAACACATCCACTGGAACCCATTACAGAGGCGCCTTGCTTCACACAGGTTATCCCCTCCCCAACCCCAAACAGAATCCTGCTCATCCCAAGCAAGGATGTCTCACCCACTGATATGTGATCCCTATAATCTGGGGCCACGGTTGTCTCTGTATAAGGCATCCAAGAACTGGAAGGAACCCCAGCGCCTCCATGATTTCTCTGAGATGCCTCCAAATACATCAGCTCCTCATCACCTGCTTCAGCCATTTTTACAGCCAGTTTCCAGCCAAGTGACCTTGGTAGATAACTTCTCCTAAATATCATTTCTTAGAGTCTGAGAATACCTGAGTAGGCAGTTGTGAGAATTCAAGGACATAATGCATATCATGGGTTTTTGCATAATGCCCAATACTTATAAAGCAGCCAATAAACAGTAGTAAATATTATCAGTGAATATGATTATCATCATGCTATCAGTTCATCTCTAGAAATCTATCCCTATATCATGCCCAATTCACTTTTTCATTTTATATAAGCCATGTCCAGAAAATATTCACACAACATCTGGGAGGTAATAGCCAGGGCTCTGGTGTGTCAAATTAACCATTGCTGTCCACTATCTAGGGGCCACAGGACCTACTTCTGGTCTGGAGGCCCACATTCCCACCTTCTCACTTTACAGTGAGACCTCAGCCAAGGCCCAGCCCTCTCTGGGCCTGAGGTATGGGCTGTACTTAGCATTTGCTTATTAAATCTGCATTAGCTTATTAAATCCAGTAGCATCCCAACAGCCCTGTGAGGGGAGATATCATTATCTCCACTTACAATGGGGAGACTGAGACTAACAAAGGTTAAGAAGCATGCCTAGCTAGTGCGTAGTGGGAGCAGGTTCAAGACCAGTCTGACTCCATGGTAAAGTTCTGCATCGTGACCTGAACCACAGATTCAATTGCCTTGGGCCTGTTTGACCTGCTCTGTCTGTCTTTACGGGGTCTCAGATTTCATCTTTGTTCTATACCTAGGCTGCCCTATTTGGAAAGAAGAGTTAACCTGGAGAGGCGATAAGTCCATCCAGTGTAGGGGCTGGGCAGAATTTCTGAATAAATCAGCCAACAAATATTCGCTGAAGCCTACTGAGCACCCGGCCCTGAGTGTACACGCCCCAGCTAAGGGCTCTGTGCACATTTCTTCCTGAGTTGGAGCCGGGTGTTAAGGGGATGAGGATAAGCCCAGTGACCCACGCATTGGCCCAGACAGCCTGATGCATCATCAGCGCGATGTAGGTGATCTCTCCAAGCAGACCCGGCAAGCCGAAGGTGTAGTGCACGCCGCAGCTGTCGTGAATCCCCAGCACTCGGTTAAAACACACCTGTGGACAAATGCTATTATAAGCAGACTGGCAGGCGAGACCCATGTTCCCTGCCCATCCCGTTCACACACCCTTGGCATCCAGGGCCACAAAGGGGGATGGGCACTAAGGCTCACCTAAAGAAGCACTTCTCAGACTTGAATGTGCACTCACGTCATCGGGGAGTTTGTTGAAATGAAGACTTGGCTTTAGTGGATGTGGGGTGGGATCTAAGACTGAGCATTTCTAACAAGGTCCCAGGTGATGCCAATGCTGCTGGTCCACGGATCACACTTTGAGTAGCAAGGGTCTAGTGTAGACACTATTCACAGTTTTGGCTGATAATTCTTTGTGGTGGGGGCTGCCCTGTGCGCCGTAGGATGTTTAGCAACATCCCTGGTCTCTACCCACTCGCTGCCAGTAGCAGCCCCCACCCCACTGTGTAAACCAAGAATACCTCCAGACATCGTTTGATATCCCCTGGGGGGTAACTGAGACCCACTGGTCTACCCCAAATTTAAGCACCATCCCAAAGACAAGACGGCTAGTTAGAAACAAGGCATGAGGCCCCAATTCTGGATCCCCCCTCAGCCTTCTGCTTCATTGTTCAGCCTCCCACGCAGCCGTGAGCCAGCAAATGTGGACACAAATGCAAATTCAATCAGGCTGGTTCCTTCCTTAGGATCTCCATTACTCGTCAGAATAAAAATCCAGGCCAGGCACGGTGGCTCACGCCTGTGATCCCAGCACTTTGGGAGGCTGAGGTGGGCAAATCATCTGAGGTCAGGAGTTTGAGACAAGCCTGGCCAACATGGCGAAATCCTGTCTCTACTAAAAACAAAAAATTAGCCGGGCATGGTGGCAGGTGCCTCTAATCCCAGCTACTAGAAAGGCTGAGGCAGGAGAATCACTTGAACCCAGGGAGCGAGGTTGCAGTGAGCCAAGATTGCACCACTGAAGTCCAGCCTAGGTGACAAAGGGAGACTCAGTCTCAAAAAAAAAAAAAAAAAGAATAAAAATCCAGACTCCTCCTCAACTAGCCCATGAAGTGTGCCTGAGCACTTCCCATTTCCCATCTCTCACGGCTCTGGGCCCACCATGCTCCTGGGTGGACCCTATGCCTTTAGAATGTCTGTTTCCTGGTTGGGTCATACACTCTTCTTACCAATAAGCTTTTGTACACACAGTTTCTTCTGTCTGGAATACATTTCCCATGACTTTGCCTGGCTAATACTCCTTATCTGTCAATGCTTGGCTGTCAACTGTTTCCTCTGCTCTGGGAAGCACTTCCAGATCCATCCCAGGCTAGCTTAGATGTGCCCCTATAGCAGTTCTCAGACTGTATTGTGTTTATTTATCCATTTCCCTCACTAAACTACAGCTTGAAAAGCAGGATGAGTGTTAAAACATATGTATTGAATGAATGAATGAATATATGAATGAATTAGAGAATCATTTTTGAGTAGTCCTGCCAGTGATGAAGTCAAGAAAACAGGCTCAGAGAACATGATTGGCACAAAGCCTCCTGATGATAACTTGTTATGTTTTTTTTTTTTTTTTTTTTTTTTTTGTGGTTTTTTTTTTTTTTTTTTTTTTTTTTTTTTTGAGACGGAGTTTGGCTCTGTTGCCTAGGCTGGAGTGCAGTGGCGAGGTTTCAGCTCATTGCAACCTCTGTCTCCCGGGTTCAAGTGATTCTCGCATCTCAGCCTCCCGAGTAGCTGGGATTACAGCCACATGCCACCACACCCGGCTAATTTTTATATTTTAAGTAGAGATGGTTTCACCATGCTGGCCAGGCTGGTCTTGAACTCCTGACCTCAAGTGATTCACCCACCTCAGCCTCCCGAAGTGTTGGGATTAAAGGTGTGAGCCACCACGCCCAGCCAGTTTTTCCTAACTTTAGATTGAAATAGACTCCCTGAACAGCCACTGTTCATCCAAATCCAGCCTTCAAAAGTCTACTCTTTTTCCTCCATCAAGTCTTCAAACCCATGAAGATTTGTTGTCCCTAAATATTTCTCTTGGAGAAGCATATGATAACCAATTGGCTATAATGAAGTATTCTGGAATGATCAGGATTTGCTGAGTATTAAAAAAAGAAAGATCCATCCACTTAGAAGAAGAATTAAACAGTCAGAAGTAGATACGACCTGGATCATCAGCCCAGCACTCCCTCTTCTGGGCGCTCCTCTCACATCATCCATGTGGTTCCCTGGCAGCAGCCACAGGTGCATGCTGAGCCCCACCCCAGCCGAAGGTGACATTATCCAAGTTGAACCAAAGAGCCCCTTTCCAGAGAATTTGAGATTGGGGCCAAGAGAGTCCACCAGGTTGCTTTCTTGAAGAGAAAGACTACATCCCACCACGTGGAGTGGAAGAGGAGGAAGCAGGTCTATAGAGTAAGAATAAAGCAGATATTCAGGAAAAGTAAAGAAAGAAGAAAAACAGGGGCTTCTGGGCTCCCGTAACACTCCAGTCCCTGTCCTTGAGTTCTGTGACACCCTAGTGGCCTTATAACAAATTCTGCCCCATGCCCAAGCACGCTCAAATGGGTTCTATTACCTGCTCCCCAGCATCCTAACAAATACACCACCCAGCTGGGGTGGATCCCTCACTAGGCATTGAAGCCAACATGAGAATGCGTCAACACCTCCCTAATGCGGCTGTGCACTGCCCAGTGGCCCATCAGGTCCCAGCATCCTGCTGGCCTTCAGTCAAAGCAGAGGGGATTCGTTGTCCAGTTTCTTACCGGCAGGCACTTGGCTCCCCCGATGGAGATCAGCCCCGCCACAAGACCCAGCACCATGGCAAGCCAAGGAGAAGAGATCAGGTGACACGAGGCACCCACAGCCACACCTCCTGCCAGCATCGCATTGTGCATGTAAGTCTGCAAAGAAATAGCTTGTGGGTAAAGGAAGTGAGGCAGAGAGAGAACACCACCTTGCTGCAAGTGACCAGCACCCTGGGAACAAGGCAACCCTGTAACATCCTCCCTGGTTTGATGATCCTGAAACCACCCCTTCCCTGTGTTGGGGCTACATGCCCTTCATCAATGGACATGATGGGTCAGCTCACTACCGCCCCTCACGCTCAGGGTGCTGACACTTTGATTGTGCAGCATTTAGGGAATGAGCTGGAAAGTCCAGGTGCTCAGCATCCTAGCCACCCGTCACACTCATTAGTGTGTCCCTGAGCACTTGGAAGAATGGGTTTTTGTTTCATTTTATTTTTTAGAGACAGGGTCTTGCTATGTTGCCTGGGGTAGTCTTGAACTCCTGGCCTCAACCAATCTTCCTGTCTTGGCCTCCCAAAATATTGGGATTACAGGTGTGAGTCACTGTGCCTGGCCTAGAAGAATGGGGTTTTGGATGTACCTTCTTCATAAGGTTATTGTAAGGATTGAGAGTTTCCACATATAAAGCTCTTAGCCCAGTGTCTGGCATAGAACATGATTAAATGTGCAGCAGACACAAATTATTGTTATTGTTTTTATTATTATCATTGGCTACTTGGTGCCACCCTGTATGACTGGGGCCAGTTCCAATAAGCTGGGCTTTGTTCCTGGGTCATAGCTCTGCTATGTCCTTCACTGCTCCGGAACTAGAATCTTGCCCTGCTCTTATCTGACACCCTCAGCTCTCACCTGGGATAAGTCTCTGGGCTTCCCTGTGAACACCCAGCACTCTTCCTAGAGCCCCCACTGCAGATGTAGACACGGCTCCACCACCTGGCCTGCCCTCTCCCAACCCCTCTTGGCCCTGGGGCGGGGAGGGGCATAAATATGTGTGTTAGACCCTGTTAGACCCAAGCGCTGACACCCACCTTGCTGTCACCATGGAGCTCATGGTCACTCACTTCCTCATAGCACTGAATTCTGATGTGAAGCTGTCATCTGTGGCCACATTCTTTCCACTCCAGCCCCTCCTACCCCCCGCCCCACCACTGGTCTGTCCAGACTTCCTTCCACCACCACCGGCTGGATCCCATGCCCCCATCATCACGAGAACGTGTTTTGTCTCCCCTCTCACCCGTCCCTTTCCACAAGACACACACCATCCTCTCACTGTATTAACAGCAGCAGCTAATGTTTGCCTAGCACTTGCTCCCTGCTAGGCACTTCACATGCACCATCTCTTAATCCCCACTTTACAGATGAGGCCGTTGAGACTCACAATGTTGAAGTGGCTTGACCAGGGCTACATGGCTAGTGTCACATACTTCTCTACTTCTGACTCTGGTGGCTCCTCTCTTGAGATTTCTTGCAGGGAGGAGAGGCTGGCTAATTCTAGTCTAGTCTGCTGCTGACTCTCGCTCACGGTGATTGGCTTTAGCAACTAGCAGAAACGGGGCTCAAACTCAGGTCTGTTTCATGTTAGCACGGATGGATTTAATCTCTCCCCCCAGAGAGCCTTTGATCACTGGACAGTCTCCTGAGTCCCAGGCCCACTCTGACCACCCAGCATTCTTCCTAGAGCTCCACTAAAGATGCAGATACGGCTCCACCACCTGGCATGTCCTTGCCCAACCCCTGCTGGCCCTGGGGTCGGGGGGAGGCATAAATATGTGTGTTAGTCCTGTTAGACCCAAGTGCTGTCCAAGGGCAGCACCCTCCTCACCATGTTGATCTTCCCTCGGGGATGAGCCAAGGATGACACTGAGATGCTTGTCACCACGCTGACCGCTAGGGCGTAGTAGGTGTTGAACACAGCATCCCTCCTTTCGATTGAATTTCTCAGCAGAGCGGAGTTGAAACTTGGCCAGAACATCCATAAGAAGAGGGTTCCTGGGGGCCAGAGAGGGTGGTTGACCAGAACCACGCTCCTGCTCCAAAGGCCTGAGCCTTGAGCGGTTTTGGATGAGAATCCGAGGGCTGGAGAGTCTTAACCTTGTCACTTAGAGCTAGATGGGCAAGTCACATCTCCCCTCTGAGCTCTCAAGCTGATTTCAGCTAAGATATTTTACAGACAAGGAAACAAAGGCCAAGAGGGTTGAAATCTACATACCCCAGGCCTCTTAAACCTGGTCTGTGATGGTCAGATCTTATTTTTATTTTTATTTATTTATTTTTTCTTTTTAATTGAGATGGAGTCTTGCTCCATCGCCCAGACTGGGGTGCAGTGGCGCGATCTCAGCTCACTGCAACCTCTGCCACCTGGGTTCAAGAGGTTCTCCTGCCTCAGCCTCCAGAGTAGCTGGGATTACAGGCATGCGCCACCATACCCAGCTAATTTTTTTGAATTTTTAGTAGAGACAGGGTTTCACCATGCTTGCCAGGCTGGTCTTGAACTCCTGACTTCAGGTGATCCACCTGCCTTGGACTCCCAAAGTGCTGGGATTACAGGCGTGAGCCACCATGCCTGGCCCAAATGATTGTTTAAAAAAAAAAAATAATGTGCTGCTTTAACTTGGCCCTGCGGCCTGACAATCCTTTACCTACTATCAGGCTCCCTGCCCGATTTCCTCTAAGCCTCTCCCTGCAGTCCAAGTTCATTATTTTCACAGCAAATTTTCAAAGTACAGCATTATTACTATTCCCACCCTTGTTCCTTCACTTCTGGGCCCTATTTCTTCGCTTGTCCAATTCCCTCCTTTCAGCTGAAAACAAAGGGATTGGATAAACTTATGTAAACTCACACATAATGAGTCTCTCCTCTCTAGTGGATATTAATGAAGAGAGGTCCCTAAAAGGAAATGCTTAATTCAGAGGTATGAATTTAACCAACACTACTTGAAGAAATGAATCACGATGGAAGGGCTTCAGACACCCAGGGGACGCTGGTAAAGGAGAGAAATTTTTCCACCAGAGACTTTTCTGAGCCATTCGGCTCAGCCCAAGTATGAGAACACTCATTCCACCTTGTCCTTACCCAGCATGGCAGACAAACTGGGGCTTGTTGCTGTCCGTTCTTTTTCCTCCATTCCTTCAGGCAGAGGTTTTGGCAGGCACCAGGCCACAGTCAGCCCAAAATACGCTGCGAACACGTGGATGCACATCATGTTTGTGTGGTCCTCTGTCTGCAATAAAATCCAGCAGGAGCAAGTGAGTGTCAGCATCCTCTTCCCACGGGCAAGCCCTGACAGTCCTTGGAGAAAGTTCAGAGCTTCATTTAAGGGATGTGACTTGAAGACATGAGACTGTGGTTCAGACTTTACCCAGCCCAACTCAGTAGGCTTTTCTCCTTCAGAGGAGCCCTATGAGTTGCCGTGTATTTATTCCAGGGATATCGCTGGCTGGCCTTTATCAGTAGCTCTTTCTTTTTTCTTTTCTTTTTCTGAGACGGAATTTTGCTCCGCTGCCCAGGCTGGAGTGCAATGTCGCAATCTCGGCTCACTGCAACCTCTTCCTCCTAGGTTCTTGTGATTCTCCTGCCTCAGCCTCCAAGTAGCTGGGATTACAGCTCCCATCTACCTGGGAGACTGAGGCAGGAGAATCACTGGAACCTGGGAGGCGGAGGCTGCAGTGGGCCAGGTTCACACCACTGCACTCCAGCCTGGGCAAAAGAGCAAGACTCCATGTTAAATAAATAAATGAAATAAAATGCAAGTCAGATCATGTCACTGCTCTGCTCAGAAGCCTCCAGCGGCTCCCATCTCACTCAAATCAAGGTCCGTGTTCTTGCCATGACCCTGCGGGATCCATTCTGGCCTGTCCTCTCTGATGTCACCTCCTATTCCACTCTCCACTCGCTCTTCTCTTGTCCTCAAACCCACTAGCGTGTTCCTCCTTGGGATCATTCAGCTGCCTGAAATGCTGACCCCCAGCCAGGGTATAATGAGGGCAGGGTGGAGACAGTAGTCCATCCTGGGTCCAAGCAATCAGGGATGCCTTGTCTGTAGAGGATGTCTAACAAGTTTAAAGCCAACTATAAAGTCTGTCTGCTTTTTATTTATTTTTACTTATTTATTTATTTATTTTTGAAATGGAGTCTGCTCTGTCACCCCAGTTGGAGTGCAGTGGCGCGATCTCGGCTCCCTGCAACCTCCGCCCCGTGGGTTCAAGCAATTCTCCTGCCTCAGCCTCCTGAGTAGATGGGATTATAGGTGCCCACCACCATGCCCGGCTAATTTTTATATTTTTAGTACAGACGGGGTTTCACCATGTTCCCCAGGATAGTCTCTAACTCCTGACCTCAAGTGATCTGTCCATTTCGGCCTCCCAAGTGCTAGGATTACAGGCGTGAGCCACCACACCCAGCCTATTTTTTATTATCACCATGTGCTGACAATTCTAAACAGCGTGGGTGATGAAATGGCCCTCCCAGCACCCTGCCATTGGTCTGCTGCTGTTCTCAGATACTGATGAGGCTGTGCACTCGCTACTTGCAGGTCTGTACTCAACAATCACCCCCTTGATGAGATGACGCTGCCCCTGGCCACCCTCTCTCTCAGTCATCCCCTCTCCCCAACTTCTCCTGTTTCCTTTCTCCATTTTATTTTCCTCTGTGGTACTTACCACTCTCTAACATGCTATATCTTTTGCCTATTTTATTGCTTATTGGCAGTCTTTCCTTCTGGAATAGACATTCCATGAGAGTTGTATTTTTCCACTGCCACAAGAGTGCCTGGTACATCATAAGTACCAAATAAATATTTGTGAAGTGAACAAATGATGGTAAAAAGCCCTCAGTCACACAAAAAGAGGACAGTCTAGGCAATTCCCTGATAAGAACTGAAAAGAGGGCTTATGTTTTTAATCTCTTTGAGCTCTACCAGGAGGAGTTCAGGGACAACACTTGGGGGCTGTTGGCTTGTTGTACAGCTAGTGCTCGACTTACGACCACGATTGGTTCCGACAGACTGGTCGTAACACGATTTGGTCGTAAGTTGAGTAGGCTATATGAACGCGGAGATGGTAATGCTGCTGGAAGCTGGTCCACACTGTCATACGCCCAGCTGGGCAACGTTTGCACTGCCAGACGCGGAGCAGTCGTGGCTAGCGATTGTGGTCGTAAAGTCGAATGGTCGTAAGTTGCATAGGTCGTAAGTCGATCAATACCTGTATTCATTTCTTGAGTTGCCTGCACTGAAATGACTCTGGTCCTTGGCTCGGGTTCCTCCAAGCCCTCCTACTGAAGAAACCCAGGCTGAATGGAAGTCTTGAGGAAAATGAACACTCAAAATCAGTGCTAAGCCCTCCCCTAGACCAGCTAAACTAACAAGTCAAAGCTGTAGAGAAGAGAGGAGGTGATGTTATATCAACGCAGTCTTTTAAAGCAATTGTTATGAAGACTGCAACAAAGCAGGAAGAGGTTCAGACTCACAGGGAGTGTTCTGCCTCTGAAATTTACCCCTTTTCTTGACAGCCATGTTTTTACTGTGTGAACCATCTCCCGTGCCATCTGGTTGGGCCAGAGTGGAAAAATGACCCAGGGGACTGATCAGATTCCCTCTCCCTGAACTACAGAATTGAGACTGAGAGAAGAGTTGTTTTCTGCAGGATCTGGGACACAGAAATGCAGGAACAAGTGGAGGTGGGTGGGTGGGTGGAGGGGACACATTTTTCACTAAAGAGAAAGCTGGTGTACAGACATTAGATGTACAGAGAGAAACAGAGCTAAAAGATGGAGGGCCTGGACTACCTGGGATCTTAGCAGCTTCTCACAGCCAGTACCAGTGCCCTCCTGAGTCTGGCAGCACCTCCTGCCCTTGTAGGTTCTTTTTTTTGTTTGTTTTTAAAAAATTTCCACACTACACAGATGTACCTTGGTGGTTCTTATACTGAATTCTCTTTATTCTGCCTAAGAAAGCTCTGGATATTTTCTTCCTGGGAATTAGGGAGTTGTCATTAATCCTTATATTAAGCAGAGAGAAAAAGCAGAAAATGGAAGTGTGCAAATTGGAATCCAGGAGCCCATGGTGATATAAATAAATACATAGATGAGTGAATGAACAGAGAAGTGAAAGCTTTTCCTTACAGAAGAATACCAACTTCTGAAGGGAAGATGGAATTAGGAAACTAATATTGGCAATTATTATAGTACTAATTTATTCAGGGAAGAATCATTGAACACTAAAGTCAGTGAGTGAAAGTTGGATGATAAACAGGATTTCTATAGGAAATTATCTCCTCACAAGATGTTTATTAATTACAAAGGGGAAAACAGTAACTTTACTGTGGAAGATCCTGGCAGGTACCATCTTAACCCAATGATCACAGTTAACGCACCTAGTAATGGGGCAAATTGACAGCATGTCTTCTGATACAATATACTAAGAAGGGCGCACGTGACTCATGTGGAATTCCTGCCAAAAATGCATACCCACAATCTAATCATGAGGAAAAGCAGACAAACCCACGTTCTACAAAATAACTGGCTCAAAACTTCAAAACATGTCAAGGTGATGAAAGATAAAGAAAGATGAAGAAACTGTTCCAGATTGATGGAGTTTAATAAAACATGAGAACTAAATGCAAGATGTAATCCTGGACACATATATATATATATATATATATATATATATATACATATATATATGTATACATATATATATATATATATACATATATATATGTGTGTGTGTGCGTGGTGTGTATATATATACATATATATATACAGACACACACATATATATTCTAGAAAGGATATTATTGAGACAATTGGTGAAATTTGAATAAGGTAATCATAATGTATCAATGTCAATTTCTCATTTTTGTTAACTGAACAATGGCTATGTAAGAGAATGTCCCCGTTTTTAGGAAATTATATTAGTTTGCTTTCACACTGCTATAAAGATACTTCCTGAGACTGGGTAATTTATAAACAAAAGAGGCTTAATTGACTCACAGTTGCGCATGGCTGGAGAAGCCTCAGGAAACTTACAATCATGGTGGAAGGTGAAGGAGAAGCAAGGCACATCTTACACGGTGACAGGTGAGAGAGAGAGAGAAAGAGGGAGGAAGTGCCACACTTTCAAACCATCGGCTCTCCTGAAAATCCACCAACACAAGAACAGCATGGGGGAAACCACTCCTATGATCCAATCACCTCCCACAAGGTCCCACCCTCAACATGTGGAAATTATAATTCAAGATGAGATTTGGGTGAGAATATAGAGCCAAACCATATCAGAAATGTACACCGAGGCCAAATAGTGGCTCATGACTGTAATCCTAGCACTTTGGAAGGCCGAGGTAGGTGGTTCACCTGAGGCCGGGAGCTTGAGACCAGCCTGGCCAATACGGTGAAACCCTGTCTCTACTAATAATGCAAAAATTAGCTGGTGGCAGGCACATGTCTGTAATCCCAGCTACTTGGGAGGCTGAGGCACAAGAATTGCTGGAATCCAGGAGGCAGAGGTTGCAGGGAGCGGAGATCCACCACTGCACTCCAGCCTGGGTGATGGAGCAAGACTTTGTCTCAAAAAAAAAAAAAAAAAAGGAAAAAGAAATGTATATTGAAGGATTTAGGGTTAAAGTCACATACACGGATGAAGAAAACCACAAATTAATAAATACAAACATCCAGGCTGGGCGTGGTGGCTCACGCCTGTAATCCCAGCATTTTGGGAGGCCAAGGTGGGCGGATCACCTGAGGTCAGGTGTTCAAGACCAGCCTGGCCAACATGGTGAAGCCCCGTCTCTACTAAAAATACAAAACTTAGCTGGGTGTGGTGTTGCGCACCTGTAATCCCAGCTACTCGGGAAGCTGAGGCAGAAGAATCACTTGAACTCAGGAGGCAGAGGTTGCAGTGAGCTGAGATAGCATCATTGCACTCCGGTCTGGGTGACAAGAGCAAAACTCTGTCTCAAAAAAAACTTCCCATATTCCCTCCCAGACCATTGTTCTTTTTTCCTCCCCAAACATCCCCAGCTCCCTTGAAGATGCCATCACACTCTCCCTTCCTTGCTGCAGGCTCAGCCTCCTGGCTGCCTCTTGGTCACTCGATGTCAGTTCCTGCCCTTCAGCCTTTCTCTCCATCACTCTTCCCAGACATGATCTTAGCCCACCCAACACCTCCCCCTCTTGGTTCCTTGACCGCTCGTCTATCTTTCCCTGCATTACACTTCCCGCCACCCAATGTCAAGCCTTAGATCTTGTCATTACCAGTAACTGTGTTGCCTCCAGAGCCTCAGTGTCAAGCAACACACCTGAAAACCACCACCACCTCCTGTCTGTCTGACTCACTCCTTTAATTGCCTCCTTTCGACAATTCCAACCAACCGATCCTGAGAACAATGGGGATGGTGAAAATAACAGCACTAGGCCGGGCGCGGTGGCTCACGCTTGTAATCCCAGCACTTTGGGAGGCTGAGGCGGGTGGATCACGAGGTCAAGAGATCGAGACCATCCTGGTCAACACGGTGAAACCCCGTCTCTACTAAAACTACAAAACATTAGCTGGGCATGGTGGTGTGTGCCTGTAATCCCAGCTACTCAGGAGGCTGAGGCAGGAGAA